GTAAAAAATTATTGACACACAATGTAAAAACAAGAAAGACAAAGAAAAAAATTTATAAACCTTACTACTTGGTAACTCGAATGAAAGAATCATAGAAAATGAATCAATTGGATGTTTATAACTATGAAGAGAAAACAAACAATTTAAGTATGATAAATATTAAATAATATCTAATATAGCTACATAATTAGATTTTTTTATATATTTTATCAAATGTTTCAACAAAAAATTGTGCATTGCAAGTATAAAAACATATATAATTATTTTAATTAGTCGTGTTCTCGTCGTACTAGTGTCCTATATTTTGGGAATTTTTGGTATCTTCGTGTCCGTATTCATGCTTCTTAGAGTACAGGGGATCATATTTTCGTGTGAAGGCACATTTATTGAAAATTTCTGGTCATGGGAGTATAGTGTGCTCTAAAGTGACTCCCCAACATCTTGCTAAGATTCAAAGGGTAGTTGAAAAAGCAGAGAATAGGGTTAAAATGACTATGCGCAAGAAAGTTCATTTGTCACCTTCCTCTTTCCAGCCCCCTACAACTAGGAGTATGAGGATATCAGAAATTAACACTTAAGAATTGAAGGTTTTGGGCTAAAGAAAACAAAAGGCCACTGGAGAAAGCATTTAGCTTGGGTGCTCGAGAAGAATTGTACTCTCTCATTGCACAAATATTTTATTTAGGTGGCTTGTCTTTTTATTTAGTTAGGAACCCATATTATGTGAGTTCTTATATATTTGTTGTTATTAATTTGATTACTAGTTATGTACCACTTGGTTATAACGCATTGAGGACCACGCTACTTCAAAGGGAAAGGGCGCATGTAGAAAGATTGTTGGAGTTAACCAAATTATCATGGAAAGAAAAGGGAGTGAGCATTATTACAGATGGGTGGATTGATTCACAAAGAAGACCTCTTATCAATTTCATGGCTGCATCGGAATCTGGGGCAATGTTTTTGAAAGCTATCAACTGCGAGGGTGAGATCAAAGATAAGTTTTTTATTGCGGACTTAATCAGTCAAGTAATTAAAAAAGTTGGACCTCAAAATGTTGTTCAAGTATTACTGATAATGTTCCCGTTTGTTCTTATACTGGATTATCATTTAAAATGAGTTCTAACATATCTTCTGGACACCATGTGTTGTGCACACATTGAATATTGCCTTTAAGAATATTTGTGCCGCAAAAAATCTTGAGAGAATGCAGTTACTTACGAGGAATACCACTGGATTATAGAAGTTGTTAGAGATTTAGTAACTATTAAAAATTTTATCATGAATCATTTTTTGAGGTTGTTTATCTTCAATGCCTTTGAAGTTGCTTCTTGTTGTAGACACTTGTTTTGTATTTGATATTGTAGTGTTGAAAAGATTTAAACTCATCAAGCGTGGTCTTCAAGTGATGGTGATTAATGAGAAATGATCTTATTACAAAGAAGATGATGTTGTGAAAGCAGCATTTGTGAAGGAAAATATCTTGAGTGACATTTGGTGGGATAAGATAGATTACATACTTCCCTTCACATCGCCAATTTATGAGATGTTGAGGGTTTGTGATACAAACACACCATGTCTTCATTTCGTTTATGAAATGTGGGACACAATGATTGAAAAGGTGCTATATATAGGCATGAAGGGAAGCCAGAAAATGCAAGGTCAATCTTTTATGATGTGGTACATCAAGTTCTAGTTGAAAGATTGGCTAAAAGTAACACACCTCTTCATTGTCTTGGACATTCCTTAAATCTAAGGTGACAATTTTTTTTTTAGTTTTTACTCTTAAAGTACTTTTTTTTTATTGAGTTTGTTTTGATATCTTCTAATTTTGCAATATAGGTATTATAGTGCACAATGACTATATGAAAATCTAAATCGTGATGGCTAATACTGAGTATACTTAGTTCTCTGGTTTTTCAATACTGAGTATGCTAAATTCTCTAGTTGTTTGACTCAATTTGGAGAGCACGACTCAAAAGTGAATCGAGGATTAATGGACCCTCTGATGTGGT